CTCTCCACCACCTCCACCAAAACCTTCTCCTTCAACACCACCACCACCACCATCAACTCCCTCTCCTCACCACCACCATCAACTCCCTCTCCTCACCACCACCATCATCTCCCTCTCCTCACCACCACCATCTTCTCCCTCTCCTCACCACCACCAGAGCTGTAGGTTGCATGGAGATGGAATGACCTGAATAAACATGATATTCCATAAACAAGAAGTGTGAAGGAGGTGGAATGGTGGTGTAGTTCGACTAAAAGGAACTGGCACGTTGTATTAGTGGCATGATAATGAATAAAGTTGTGTTGAGACTTGGACTGATAGAAAGGAGCAACACACACACACACACACACACACACACACACACACACACACACACACACACACACACACACACACACACACACTCCTGACTTATGTACTGTACAGACCTGTAAATGTATTGAACGCATATCATTATGTCTAATTCAAATGCAAGTTTGTATATTTTCAGCCACCGGGTGCAACTCTTAATAAACCGTTTATTATTATTATTATTACACAGTTCCATACATTAATCAGTGGTTTAATTGTTGTATGTAATAATTAAACACCTTATGCACTGTCTAAATAAGTATAACTGTACTACAACATCATAATAACTCGCACAGTGTGATCTAGAGAGTAAGAACCTAACCTAACCTGCACAGTGTGATCTAGAGAGTAAGAACCTAACCTAACCTGCACCGTGTGATCTAGAGAGTAAGAACCTAACCTGCACCGTGTGATCTAGAGAGTAAGAACCTAACCTGCACCGTGTGATCTAGAGAGTAAGAACCTAACCTAACCTGCACCGTGTGATCTAGAGAGTAAGAACCTAACCTAACCTAACCTACACCGTGTGATCTAGAGAGTAAGAACCTAACCTAACCTGCACCGTGTGATCTAGAGAGTAAGAACCTAACCTAACCTACACCGTGTGATCTAGAGAGTAAGAACCTAACCTAACCTGCACCGTGTGATCTAGAGAGTAAGAACCTAACCTAACCTACACCGTGTGATCTAGAGAGTAAGAAACCGTGTGATCTAACCTAACCTGCACGGTGTGATCTAGAGTAAGAACCTAACTCTAACCGTGTGATCTAGAGAGTAAGAACCTAACCTAACCTGCACCGTGGATCTAGAGAGTAAGAACCTAACCTGCACCGTGGCAGTCTAGAGAGTAAGAACCTAACCTAACCTGCCTGTGATCTAGAGAGTAAGAACCCTAATGCCTGCAGTGTGATCTAGAGAGTGAACCTAACCTAAATCTAGAGAGTAGAACCTAACCTGCACCGTGTGATCTAGAGAGTAAGACCTAACCTAACCTGCACCGTGTGATCTAGAGTAAGAACCTAACCTACTGAGTGTGATCTAGAGAGTAGAACCTAACCTAACCCTAACCGTGTGATCTAGAGAGTAAGAACCTAACCTAACCTAACCGTGTGATCTAGAGTAGAACCTAACCTAACCTGCACCGTGTGGATCCTAGAGTAAGAACCCTAACCTAACCTGCACCTTGTGTGATCTAGAGAGTAGAACCTAACCCAACCGTGTGATCTAGAGTAAACCTAACCTAACCTGCACCGTGTGATCTAGAGAGTGAAACCTAACCTAACCTAACCGTGTGATCTAGAGAGTAAGAACCTAACCTAACCTAACCGTGTGATCTAGAGAGTAAGAACCTAACCTAACCTAACCGTGTGATCTAGGGAGTAAGAACCTAACCTAACCTGCACCGTGTGATCTAGAGAGTAAGAACCTAACCTAACCTGCACCGTGTGATCTAGGGAGTAAGAACCTAACCTAACCTAACCGTGTGATCTAGAGAGTAAGAACCTAACCTAACCTGCATCGGGTGATCTAGAGAATAAGAACCGCACTACCCGAGGAAAATCCATTTGTTATCTCCCACCAGGCGGGTCACAAATTATAGAGCACCATCAGGGAATTTGAGTATAATTAATAGGATTAGGGGGGGGTGAGCATTATAGCCGAGTGTCAGTCCCTCCACTGGGGGCTTCATCTTGGGAGTATAATTCATGACATGTCCCCACTTAATTAATGGCCTGGTTAGCTCGTATGTATTGTTCAAGTATTATCTCTCGAGGCGGAGTTTGAATTTGATTATTGGCTGCGGAAGCTCAATATATTACACCGCCGATACTGTGGAGAGATGTTGGTCCTATCACCACCTCCTCATCCTCCACACGCCCGAGGCTTCACTCATCCTCCACACGCCCGAGGCTTCACTCCTCAAGTAAATACTGTATTTGTAATAATCAACATCTAAAGATAAGTGCAAATAGTTGTTTTTAAATAATACCTTCATACTCTTAACTACATTAATGGTTTCACTAGTAGTCAATTTTAATTTTATATGTGTATCTATTCTTCACCGAACTAGTCAGTCCTCACAGCTTACAGTAATGAACAAACTTAATATACATTTGTTTTCTTCCTCAGGGTCTCAGCACCAACGTTTTCTCTACTCTGCAACTTCCCTTCCTCCTAATATAATGACTTAAAACCAAATAGTTGTATCTGTATTGATCTGTTTTTCATATTACCAGATGAAATATAAACCCTTCTCAAACTTCAAACAAACAGCAGTCCAATCCAGTTTCAGGCGCCTCAGTGTAATTAAACCAGTTT